AGTACAAGAGTCAGACACATTTAATTTTCGAAAAGAAGCAACCATTCTTTTTTCTTTAACTGAACTAATCGCTCCTACATATTAAAAACAAGATAATGTGTACTCAAACCACAATTTTTGTAGTCAAGAAACAACTGTTTGACTCCGCAAAAGTGTACTTTGTCATTCTTTTGAGACAAAGGAGTACTATGTAGTCAGTCAAGGGAAAATATTGCATTACTCAGCTTGAAGCTTGAGAAAGAACTTCTGCATAAAAGAGTAGCTAAGACTCTTCAATGGTAACAATACTACAAAAGAACTTGTGCAACTTGTATTAAACATGCAGCATGATTACACGAATTTAACACATTATACAAAATACAGAGTTCTTATATTATTCCAAGACTGCCGTTGACATTTTTACAGAAGAAAAATAACTTAGCATATTTTTGCAACTTGTCTTACAAAATAAGAGTTCTTATCTTACTAAAAGTGTGTGATACCCAACTACATCAAATTATGATGGAGGTACATAGCTTTCCTCCTAAAGGTTCATGCATGCTACAAAACTGTTTCATCAGTCCGAACTCGAAACTGCTGGACATTATGCAACGCAATACATAAACTTCACCTTCATCAGATCAATATTCAACAGTATCATCAATTAAGACAAATAAACCAACTCAAAAAGTAGCTAGCACCTTCAGATCTACCTCACACTATGCATCATTTTAATCAATCGCTTAGTTAAATGTCTAATATGAAGTTAAATTTTCTCCTCTCTTTCATCCTCTTCTGTCACATCTTCCATTATATGGACCCAACTGTCGCAATTATCTGAATTATCAAAGTTAGAATATCTGTCAAAATACACACCTATTCAGGCAACAACAATTACTAGTACAACACTACGAATCAATTTTGGGTTTGACTAAACAAATCATCTATATGCATTCCAATCCATTGGACTCAGATATATTGTCTTGTAGGAATGAGGTGTCACAGTCCAACTAACACAGATATTTTATTTGAAACATAAATTCTAACATTAATAAGTGAAATTCCACCGTTTTGAGTTATGCTAGATTGATGTGTAGTAAAATGGTTATCTTCTTCTTTTTATGAGTACTAAAATGGTTCTCTAATCTTCCCTCTAGACTCATTAGGGCTTAAATACTATACTAACTAACACCAACTGTCCAGCCCTGTTTTCTACGCCATCTTTAGGTAGAACAGACGGAGGCGTCAAGAGTGAGGTGCTAGCAGGAAGATCTTACCTTTTCAGCCCCTTTGACAATGAAGTATCCCCCATGATCAAATTCACAATCAAGCTTGTCAACACCATTCATCCAGCACAATTCTGAGTTAACCATCACAGGGATTCTCCCAATCAAGACATCCCGTTTGTCTTCCACTTCACACTCCTTGTCAACAAACTGGTCTACGCCAGTTTTGAACTTGTCACTTCTAACTAGCTTTTTTGTATACACCTGAAATCATATACAAGGACAGCCAAATATATTAAAAGAATAAGAAACTAACAAAGGAAAAAAAATGACATGTTGGGTGTGTTATAAATGCTAACTGGAAAAGGCTGTCATTGCATGGGTGAGAAGGGATTATATTTCAAATTTCAGTGGCCATATACTTACTTTTCATCGGATGGGCAATGCATTTAACAAAGAACTGTTCAAGAGAGACCAACACAATGTAATCATTTTAGAACATTGCTAATTCAATAATTGATAAAGTAATTCTTATTAATGTTAGGGAGAAGGGTCAGCTGTATACAAGGAGTACACCAAAAAAGGTAGAAATCCCGCGATCTGGCCCATTCAAAATTGACAATAATAAGAAAAATGAATGAATATAAATAAACATAAAGAATTTGATACACATAAAACTATAGATTATAGGCAAACATCATATTTATTTTTGAATATTAGACAAAAAAAAAAAACATTTACTAACCTGAACATGAGTCTCAACCATAATCCTGGCAGAATATGTCATGTTCTGGAGGCGAGCATGCCGTGGCAACAAGTCCAGGTACTCTTTCCCACCGTCTGCAGAAAACTTCTCCCCAGCCCAAAACTTCGGCCGCTCAAGGGTTACTTTCCCAAACTTCACAGAAGCATGCTTCCAATCACCATCACCTCTCTTTGATGGATCATAACCTGGCTCAACATGGATCTCCCCAACCGAGTCAAACACCCTTTGGATTCCATAGTTGATGAAGTCATTATATGAATTTATCTGGTGACTGATTAAACCATACTTCTCAAAAAAACCAGTTGATGCCTTTTTACAGAAGTTCTTCAAGTAAGTTTCACCCAACTCTTTAATTAAAACCATATCATGGCTATCATCCTCATCTTCATCCTCGTCCTCGTCCCAATCATCATCATCTACTTCAAAAAGATCATCAATATCAAAATCCATCCTTGCTGATCCATTAGATATCTTCTCTTTACCACTACTACATCCCACTTCCTCCATGATATCAGAAATTGTCATCTAAATGAAATGCCTGCATCAAACACAAAATCAAAGTGCATCAGTCGATATTTCACTTTATTCCAATGTGTACTGCTATGCACAAACATGATCTCTCAGCTAAAAGCCTTTAAATAGCCAGCTGAAACTGTGAAATATTGTCCTTCCAGGTAGGCCAAATGAGTATTTTCTCTAAAAAGGAGGAAAAGGTTTGATCTTTCATTTCTAACTAGAAATGAGTTTTATTAAGAAAACAACAAAATAACAAAACAACAAAACAAAAGACTAAACAAATGTCAATCAGGTGAAAACTGCAATTGCTTGGTGAATTTGCTCTCGAAAATAAACTGTGTTTTTGAGAACCCACTTCCGCCCCATTGAGCTATTTCTAAAGAAGATAAAGCTAAAAAAAATAGAGACAAGAAAGGCAGGGACTTATAATATGTTTTATGTAGCATTCAAATATGTAATGTTACATTTAAAAGATAACAAATCACTGTCTATTCACACTGAATATTGGATGCACTGATACATTCTTCTTCAGAGTATATGTAACATTAGTCATGTCTTCTAAAGAAACAATAAGAAACTCCAAAATCCCAACGAGTTATTATGAGATCCAAAAGAGATAACAGGAAAACAACCTTCACCAGAATTTACTCTTAGCATTTGCTCATCAAGTCATAAAAACTGAAAACCACAAAGACCTGAGACATTCACCATCATTTCAGAAAACAAAAAGTTAAATGAAACGCATAAGCTCCCTTAAAAGATCTCTTTTTTTCACCTCTTGAAAAACCCATAAAATGCCTACAACATCTTGTGAAAAAATATAAGCTTACCTCAAATAAAAATATTTTCTTATCCTTTTCTTTTGCAATTCAAGAAAACCCATAAATCGATTTCAGCTGTTTTTAGGGATTTCAGCACAGTAATATTCTTATTTCAGTCAAATCACCTCTAAACCCTAAACCCCAAAAAACACGAAACAGAAACAAAAGAACTCCACATGCAAGAAGTATCAGAGAAGCATTTAACCTTTTCTGTACTTTCTACTACCAAAAATGAGCTAAAATCAGCTTAATCTTTTTTAAAAAAAACAGTGGTTTTCGGATTTGCCTACTTCTAAATATTAAAACCCAAAAAGAACTCGCCAACCAAACTGCATTACAGCAATATTGTTGAAAATGAAGAAAACCCACAAAAATTACTCAAAAGCCAACACAAAACTTGAGCTGAGTGTCAGAAAATTATTGTGAATCCCCATATTTTCTGAATATCTTAACGATTTGGGGGAAAATAAAAGAAGATGAAGAAATGTTTGAAGCAAGAGCAGAGAAAGGCTTACAGAGTAGCGTAGATTCTGCTTTGCTTTGCTCCCTTTTGGGGAAATTTTTTAGAGCTTTTTCGCAGACAAACAGAGAGCACGAGCAGTAAGTATACTGACTAAATGGAAGTGAGGACATGTGTTAATGTAAAAACACAAAATCTAATTAATCCTAACTACTCTAATATTAGATGTGAAGTACTTTGATGGAACACTAAATTTTTAAAAATACTATGATTTTACAATGTTTACAAATTATTTTAAAAAAAAGTGGGATTTATATTATCCATAAACTATTAAGAGTTATTAAAAATATATATATATATATATATATTTTTAAAAATTGACTAAAAATCAAAACGAGTTATATAAAAAAAGAGTAGTACTATTTTTTTATATCTTAATTTTTTTTTTGTGATATTATAAAGAAAAAATGATGTCGTAGGTCATATATATATAATAGTTTTATAACTTTTTATGAGATTTGTATTTTTGCAAAATAACTTTCTTTTATACATAACATTTAAAAAAATCTTTTCTTGTATTCATTTAGTAAGTGATCATTATTTTTAATTCCTCTTAATTAAATAACACAAATTCCACTAATTTAGAGCCTAATAACGTGTCTTCGCGTGAATTTTTTAAATTATTATTCGTGTCAAATTTCGATCCTCAAATACATAAATCTAACATGATATGAATCTCAAATATATGAGATCAAAATTAAGTGTAATTTGTTCCAGATACACTATATCTAAGTGAATTCACATGTATTTGCGTCCCAAATACATGCACCAAGTGTGATTCACATTTCTTCTGAAATACACAGACTCTCTCCCTCCTATCTAGTTCGCTTCTCTCTTCTTTTGCTCACCTCTCTCCTTGTTTATATATATTTCATAGTGTATCTGGTAGCAAAATACATCTATATATGTGTATCTAGCTTGAAATTTGATATGACACCATTAATAAATGAGATAATGTGTAATTATTTTAAACCGTAGGAAGAATTTGTAAATATTATAGGAATATTTTTAGGTAATTAAGGTAGTTGTTAGGGGCTTGGCATAGGGCAATAGGACTTTCCCATGGGCCCTCAGTAATAAAAAAAGCCCATTTGAATTGCAAGGCCCAGCATAGCCCAAATTCTTTATAGCGGGTTGGGTGAAAATGAAACTCTTTTGTGCCATAAAATTCTTCTCTGGAACCAAATTTGGAACTTTTTGTCTGAACAAAAATGGATGCTCTCGACTCTGTTTTCGATCCCCTTAGAGATTTCGCCAAAGACAGCGTTAGGCTTGTAAAGAGGTGCCACAAGCCAGATCGTAAAGGTACTAATTACATTTCTCTTCTGATTTGTGTATTCAATCCATAGATTTGTATATGTTCTTCAATTTAATCGAACGTTTTTCTGCAGAATTCACCAAAGTTGCTACTCGTACTGCAATCGGCTTCGTTGTGATGGGATTTGTAGGATTTTTCGTCAAATTGATCTTCATTCCTATCAACAACATCATCGTTGGTGCTTCTTAATCGGTAATTCCTGCTCTCTTATGTGGATATCGCTAGATCTGGTTGACCAGTTTCAGGTTTTGGTGTTAATGTCATGCCATAGGCTTCTTTGACGGTATTTCGTTTATGCATGTATATGCACAAATCAATTGGTGTCAAATAGTTTTTTTATATTTTGAAACAAAAATGATCAAGTTGCTGATAAGAGCCTAGTTGATCTGTATTATTTATGATTTGGAGTTAGCTTTACAAGTGAATACAGGTGTTTATTCACATAAAAGAAGGATTTTTGTTGGTTGGGAAGAACAAGAGACAGTTTTCTTTATGCATAATTCCAGTACATATTTTTCTATCGTGGGAATTTCATCATGAATACACAAAATATGTCCAGCTGTCTGTTGGTTTTCAAGGCGTCTGTAAATCTAGTGCTATGGTAAGTATGTTAAATTTGACCATGTGAAGTGTGGTACATGATGATCATTGTTCCTATTTAATCAAGTGATGCATTTTTTTGTGTGGATTGTTCCTCGTATTGGCAGCTTAACCTTCATTTCAAATTTTCAATAGTATCATGAGCTGTGTTAGACATTATCTTTTAACGAAGTGATGCATTTTTTTGTGTGGATTGCTCCTCATATTGGCAGCTTAACCTTCATTTCAATATTATCATGAGCTCTGTTAGACAGTCTCTTAATTATTTAGATGCTATTGGAAATATTGTTTAATTATAATTAGGACAGAAGAGAATGAAGAAACAAAAGACATGATTTTCTAGGCAAATTTAATATTCCTTAAATACCAAATCACTCCCAGGCATGATTCCCAAAAATATGAACTAGATCCAAAATCAACATCCATTTTCCGGTGGTCCTTCTGATCACCGGGATCCTTCACCCACACCTTCCCTCCCTTTTCCTTCCTTAACCCCTCCTCTGATCAATGGAGGACTGTATTTACTTTCCGTAGGTTTTAAATCCTACGATCTCGAGAGAATCAAAGGAACGACAGGCGACTGGTACGAATGGACTGAGAGGAGTAAAAGAAACGTCACTAGAACTTCTTTCAACAAGAAATCAATGATCTGGATCACTCAGGTCATGCAGAAAGCTTCAAAGACGAAAGGAAATGTGGTGAAGAGATGGAGGAGACTAGAACCTCTATCAGAAATATATTGTGCTACGAATTTCAACAAATATGGAAGATATTTGAGTCTGATAAACATAAGGGGAAGAATGAGGTCTGTTATCATAATCCCGGTTGACTTTGAACTCAGGATGGGGAAACATAGCAGACAAAATGGGGAGATTCCTTTCTAGTCATAGAAAGGAGGTGGAAAGTACAAAGCAGAGGTTGGTAGACAACAATTATCCCTTTGCAGAGGCAGTGAGGAGCATTAAATGGTCTAATAAAAAAGGGGACGGAGTTAATGGCCAAGCAATATTAATGAAGGAAGAGGGAATCATTTGCATTAATGAATCTTCAAACACCCACAGTGAAGTTTTGCGGAGAAGTCTAGTTGGAGATTTTGAAGGAAGGAATAATGTACTGCCAAACCTAGCAGAGGTGAGAAGCTGGGCAAACAAGTTTTGGAGACAAAGCCATGGCCTAAACATTTACGAAATGGGAGCTGGAAAATTCTTGTTTGAGTTTGCGATGGAAACCACGGCAGAACAGGTGCTTGCAGGTGAGTGGATTTGGAACAACTCAAGGGTCCGGTTAGAGTGGTGGTCCCCAACTTTAGCGGCCACAGATATGGAGAATAAACCAACAGCGATCTGGACCAAGATTGTAGGCCTTCCTCTACATCTCTGGTCAGAGACTATTTTCAAGGCCATCGGAGATCTCTGTGGAGGTTGGATCGAAACTGAGGAAGAGACACAACTACGGAATCATCTCAAATGGGCTCGAATCAAAGTAAAAGGCGATGGGTCAAAGATTCCGAAGGAGGTGACCATTATCAATGCTGGAATCTCTTTTTCCATGCAACTGTGGACAGAAATTCCGGTGAGGTTCGCCATCGTAGAAGAGGGAAAGGAGAAGCCCGTTATCCAACAGTTATCGAGGATTTACCCAGAGGATAAAAGAGAGGAAAGTTGTGGTGTCAGCAGGAGACCACGTGGGGAGGTGTTAAAAAGGAATTTTGTTGGACCCACTTTGAATTTAAAAAAATTGGGCCAGAAACCCTCAAACGCAGGCCCAATAGTCCAAAAGCATACAGACATTAGACATTACAAATCTTCCTGTGAGTTCAAAAAGGCCCATGAACTTTAATGAACCCTCACGTGACAATCACATGGCAGAAAACAAAGGCCTCACAGAAATAAAAGACCTGGTAGCTAAATTTCTGGAAGCCTTCAGGAACTGGGAAACAAACACGGCGAAAGAAACAAGCATGGCGACGCAAGTCGATGGAGGAGAGAGAAATTCATCTTGCATCCAAACAAAATCAGGTATGATTGGTTCACAACAAACTTCTCATGAAAAAGGAGGAGGGGAGACAAACGATACACAATCAACAGAGCAAGACATGCAACTTCAACATATTCATGATGCAGAACCAGTCAACTTTCAGCTTCCAAATTCCCAAGAAGACTGCGAAACAGAAGCTTCAAATTGGGTGAATTCTCATATCCTAGATTTGAGCAACACATATGGGGTGGCCTTCGAAGGATTTGAAAGAGAAACCATAGCTTTGTTGATGAAGATTGATGAGAGAAAAATACAACTTGATAAGAAGGGGAAGGGTGAGGCAGTCTCTACTCCAAAGAGCCGAGGTATTGGAAAGAATGAACTGAAAAACTTAAAATCCAGCCTAAATGAAGAGGTGGAAGGAAGCAGAAGTAGAGGGAGGAATCTAAGCCTAACTTATAAATGAAAGTTAACTTGATTACATGGAACGTAAGGGGGTTGAACAATCAGAATAAGAGAACTATGGTGAAGAGTCTAATGAAAAAGTGGAAGGCAGATGTTTATTGTTTACAGGAAACAAAGATTAGCAAGGACTTAGAAGTAATGGCCAAACAACTATGGTCATGTAGGTGGATGAAATGCGGTTACTTGGAAGCTGAAGGCAGTTGTGGGGGGATCTTGCTGCTGTGGGATAGTAGAATCTAGAGTGGGACCCTTGTTGAAACTGGTCAATACTCCATTACGTATGAGTTTGTATCAACTCAAAATTTTTTCACCTGGTACCTCACTGGAGTGTATGCTCCTCATACCAGAGATGAGAAGTTGATATGCTGGGAAGAATTGGTTGCAGTCAGGACTTTATGTGAAGGTCCATGGATTACATGTGGAGATTTCAATACCAATAGAACTATGGGAGAAAGAAGAGGATGTAACAGAATCTCTTATGTTATGTCTGACTTCTCAAGGTGGATAGAGGAGATGGAGCTACATGATCCTCATTTAAATGGTGGAAAGTTCTCCTGGTTTAGAGGCATCAATCATCCTAGTGCAGCTAGACTAGATAGATTCTTGTACTCGATGGAATGGGAAGAAAAATTCAAAAACATCAGGCAAAAGTTACTACCTAGAGTGCTATCTGACCAATGTCCTATCTTGTTAGAAAGTGGTAACTGGGAGCAGAAAAGATCAAACTTTAAGTTTGAGAATTGGTGGCTAAAGGTGGACGGTTTCACCAACTTGATTCAAAGTTGGTGGAATGAATTTCTAGTGGAAGGTTGTCCTGATTACATATTGAATATCAAACTAAGAATGCTAAAGCAGAAACTCAAGGAGTGGAGCAAGTCAAATTTTGGGGAGCTCACTAGTAAGAAAAATAGCTTACTGGAGGAACTCGCAGAAATTGATTTGATACAAGAAACCAGGGAATTGACTGAAGATGAAGTGATAATAAGAGCCACCATAGTAGTGGAGCTGGAAAAGTTGGCAAAAAATGAAGAATCGAAATGGAGACAAAAATCAAGGGTTTTATGGTTGAAACAAGGAGATAATAACACACGGTTTTTTTCAGAGAATGGCAACAGCCCACAGAAGGATCAACACTATTGATAGGTTGATAGACAGAGGAGAGGTTGTAGAAGACCCTGTAGAGATCAGGAACACCGTGATTAATTTCTACAAAGAACTTTACACTGAATCTGAGGAGTGGAGACCCAACTTTGACCTTATGGAATGTCCAACTATTTCTCAGGAAGAAAAGGATTGGATGCAAAGACCATTTACTGAATCAGAGGTCTTGCAATGCCTACAACTTTGTGATGGAGATAAAGCTCCAGGGCCAGATGGCTACACAATGAGTTTCTTTAAATCTTGTTGGGGAATTGTAAAAGAGGATCTGATGCCGACAATTCACAACTTCCATCAAAATGGAATTTTTGAAAAGTCTTTCAATGCCACCTTCCTAGCACTGATTCCTAAAAAACCTGGAGCAGAAGAATTGAAAGATTTCAGGCCTATTAGCTTGATAGGAGGAGTCTACAAGATCATTTCCAAACTGATTACTGAGAGGTTGAAGACAGTAATGGGGAAACTGGTTGATGTACACCAAATGGCCTTTCTGAAAGGAAGACAAATCATGGATGCTGCACTAATTGCTAATGAGTTGGTAGATTCCAGAGTTAAGCAAAAAATTCCTGGAATTTTATGTAAGTTGGACATAGAGAAGGCCTATGATCACGTCAATTGGGCTTTTCTGCTGAAGGTTTTAAAGGACATGGGATTTGGGAGGAAATGGCTCAATTGGATAAAGTTATGTATATCCACTGTTAAATTCTCCCTGATCATAAATGGAAACTCTGAAGGTTTTTTTCAATCACAAAGAGGTTTGAGACAAGGTGACACTCTCTCACCTTTTCTTTTCTTGTTAGCCATGGAAGGCCTCAATGACATGATCAGAAAAGCAAATGTTAATGGATGGATTAAAGGCTTTAAGGCTCAGAATCAGGGGAATAAGGACAATGAGGTGGGGATTACTTATCTACTATATGCAGATGATACTTTAGTTTTCTGTGAGGCTGAGGTGATACAAATTAGACACATCAGAGCAATCCTTACTGTCTTTGAAGGTATATCTGGTCTGCATGTAAATTGGCAAAAAAGTTTTCTCTATCCTGTGAATCAAGTGGATAATATGGAGTTGCTAGCTAGAAATCTTGGCTGCCAAATAGCAACCCTACCTACAAGGTATCTGGGCATGCCTTTAGGAGCACAAAATAAGGAGACAACTGTGTGGAGTGAAGTTTTGGAGAAATGTAACAAGAAGCTTGCTAGGTGGAAGAGTCAATACCTCTCCCTGGGAGGTAGGTTGACTCTAGTTAAATCTGTCCTTGATGCCCTTCCTTCATATATGATGAGCCTATTTCCAATTCCAAAGAACATTGTGAAAAAGATCGATCAACTCAGAAGGTCTTTCCTATGGAATGGAAATAAAGAGCACAAACGTTACCATCTAGTTAAGTGGGATACTCTTACTCTTAGCAGAAAGCAAGGGGGGTTGGGAATAAAAAAGCTCAATCTTCAGAACAACTGTCACTTTCAAAAATGGTTGTGGAGATTCTGCATTGAAGATCAGTCACTCTGGAAAAGAGTCATCACAATGAAGTATGGACTACAAAGCCATTGGATTACTGAGGAGGCTCTTGGAACTTTTGGATGCAATGTGTGGAAGACTATTAGAAGATTATGGCCCCAATTCAAAGGTAACATCTCACTAAAGGTGGGAAATGGTAGGAAAATTGATTTTTGGAATGAACATTGGATTGGGGATGAAAGCCTGCAATCACTCTTCCCAGACCTGTTTATGCTCACCACTCAAAACAAGGCCACAATCTCACAGCTATGGAGTCTTCAGGGTTGGAATCTCATTTTTAGGAGAGCTTTGAATGATTGGGAAATCGAGAGGGTCATTAATCTGTTTCAGATCCTCAATGCCTTCCCAGGCACCTCCACTGAACCTGATAAGCCTATTTGGAGATGGCAAAGCAAAGGTGTGTTTACAGTAAAGTCATGTTACTGCAGATACAATATTGGCCAAACACAGATCAGAAACTGGCCATGGAAGTTAATATGGAAGATAAAAATACCATTGAGGATCTCATGTTTTGCCTGGTTAGTGTGCAAAAGGGCCTGCTTAAACATGAAGTGCTTCAAAAGAAAGGCAGACAATTATGCTCAAGATGCTTTATGTGTGATCAAGATGCAGAAGTTTATAGTCACTTATTCCTTCATTGCAAAGTAGCTACAAGCTTGTGGAACATGTTTCTTGGTCTTCTTGGTGTATGCTGGGCAATTCCAAAGTCCACTAAGGATTTGCTCTACAGCTGGAAGGAGATAGGAAGAAGGGAGTCAAATGAAGATTGGTGGGAGTTAATCCCAGCCTGCATCTGGTGGTCCCTATGGAAAGAAAGGAACGGAAGATGCTTTGAGGATAAGAGAAACAACATCCAGAAAATTAGAATGAATTGTCTTAGTCTTTTGTACTTTTGGTGTAAACAAGATATGATGGGGGATATAGAACTTTTTGATGACTTCATAGGTAATTTGTAATCTCCCATGGGGTAGTTTGATTTGCTCTGATGAGATTGTAAGTGACCTATGCTCATCATTTATTTGATGATGAGCCTTTTGTGAATACACAGTTACCTTTATCTCAAAAAAAGATTTTCTGGAAGTGTTAGTAAGTGTTGAGCATAATTTGGTTGAAACTTGCAAAGAAGAGTTTTTGAAGTTGAAGTTATGTTTGAATATGTATTTCACTTGAAAAAAATTAAGTTTTGTGAGTGGGAAAGAGAAGTTCACGGAAAAACTGGTCCCAAATTTTCAGACTTGAAAAACTTGTCATCAAAAACTAACCAAAATATTATTATGGTGTAACAAAGTCAAACAATGTTTCAAAATTATTTTCCATTAAGTGAGGAATTTTTAAGTTACCAAGTTCAAAAAAAAAGTAAGGAATTTTTAAATATCCAAACAGCCCCTTAATATGCATTTTAGTTTACTAGTTCCTTTTGTGAAAAGGTCTCATTCTATTACCTAAAATTGATCCCATGCTTATCTTGGGATTGTAGAAAGTATGATAACCTTCGTTGGTAAACATACTACATTCTTTTTCTTTATGGATCCCAATTCCATACTGACCTCGGACCATCAAAATAATTTCAATGGATAGAGAACTCCTTGTCCTTTTCTCCCTTCCCTACTTTCACAAAAGCCACCAATCTGTATTCATTTATTAAATTGTATGTAGAAAGATGCCATCAGGATGGGAAGATATCCTTGAGTTATGAATCAGTCCATGACATGTAAAAAAAAGTCGTGCACCCGTCCAACCTCTATTAATCATTTGATTGAATTTTCAAAAGTAAAAACTGAAATTTTTCTAGGAGTAATATGAAAGAAACACAATATGCAAATTTTGATGATGGTGTGTCAGGGCCAAGTTGCAGGCACCTTGAATCCACCAAGACTCACATAGGAAGAAATAACATACCGTTATTGTCCGTGCTTGGATTTGAACCTTAGTAACTCATGGTCCATCCTAGCTTTCTGATCACAATGCCACCCCCAATCCCCATTGTGTGCAACAAACTGAATTGTGCAAATTTATAGCAGTGTCTTGGCAACATATCATCGAACCTGCTCTCCAAGTATTGTCATGTTTGTCCCAACATGGAAAGAAATGGCAATAGTCAACTTCGACTAGGTTCTTCTTATTTGATACCTATCTTTAGATTTTTCCTTTCAGCATACCAATCCTGTTGTGGCTTTGGATGTTTTACTCCATGGATTGTTAAATGCCTTTATGACTCCATGGCAGTGAATTATCTGGAGATACTGCTTTAATCCCCGTTCTTCTTCAGAATGTATATTGTGGTGCTTTGCAACAAGACAACTGAAAACTCTTTTGTGAAACTGCAGGCCGCGTGAAGGAGAAACTAAATGGAGATATAGAAGGAAGTAATGACGACAGTCCTCACAATTTAGTTTAAATTTGTAACCTCTGGCTGTTGGATATTTCTGACATGTTATTCAGTACCCTCTTATTGGTCTGAGTTAATACTGTAGCATTCAAATTGCCTTTATCACCTCCCTGCACCCTCATATTGGAATTTTGTACACTTGTTTCCAGATCAAAGTATTTATCTCGTAGTTTTACTTTTCTGGTGCCCTTGATACAGAGGTAAATGTTTCTATGATTATTTTTCTTCATGAAAGATGCTTTATCATGACCCCCAAGGCCTAGCTCAAGTGGCCAAAGGTGGAGGATTTGTGGCTTAGGTCTCAGGTTCAAGCCCCACACCATGCAAAGCGAAGCCTGGTATTTAAGTGGAGAAGGGTAGAGGGGCGGGCCCATTATCCACCGAGTTTAGAAGGCTGTGATTGGTCCAAAGGGCGGGTCACAAACGGATTTCTCGGTTATCAAAAAAAGAAAAGAAAAAGAAAGATGCTTTATCATGAAAAGTACAATTAAGAAAGAAGAATGAGAGTATTGATTTGGCAGCTAAGGCTTGTATTATTCGAGGCCTTTGTCATCCTTAGTTTTATTTCAATACATTTGATTTTGAGTCTGATGTGAAGTCTTGCTCCGTTACATCTGATGAATTTGTTTCGTTCGTGATTATGTTTCAACTTGCTCATACTTCCTTTGTGAGTAAATTCTCCTTCTCCTAACCCCTCTTTTTATTTTGTTCTTCTCCCTTGCTCACCTTGTATGATTTTTTTCCTTCATGAAAGCATAAGGAGAGGTAGAATTCAATTCCATTTTTCTTGAGTATATTTGCATTAGCAAAACTATGTACATCACTTTGAGGCAAATGTGTATAGATGCGGCTAGAAGTCAACCAACCGAAAGGGTTTGAACTCGGTTGTATTTTCAATTTTATTGAGGAAGTCTTTTCTTATTAAAAGGCATCACTCTCTGAGTCTCTGTGAAGATTTAGTTTTGTCGAAGAGTTAACAATCCTTCGTCACCATGTTAGTCTTTCAGTAAAGATACTCAATCTTACAAGATACGGGCACTTTTGTCAGAAGTAGTAACAATGGAAGCCAACACTGGGGACTCGAGTCAAGAAATACAAAATATTATCATGTATTCCCCCCCTAAACTTATACAGTAAGTTCTGTAGCTAGCAACATTTAAATTAAAACAAAACCTTGCGTTGTGAATCTTGAATACTTAAACACTAGAATCTAAATGCAAGCAACAATTATGCAACCATCTCTGTTTTTAATGATACAGAATTAGCTCTTCTAACAACAACAACAAAAAAAAAAACACTTGCTTATGTTTGACAAGTACATCAAAATACCTTCTCCTTTAGAATGCTTGGTGCCTGAAAAATGTTTTTCTAAAAAGTATTGTCTTGAAAACAAGTGAATTTTTTATTTATTTTTTAGTGTTAGATAAATAAGTAAAAATATATTGAGCTCATTTGAATTGACTGAATTTAAGAAGTTTGTAAGCTCCAAGTGCTAAAAAGTATTCTTTAAATGCTGGAGTTTAATTTATATTGAATAAAATAATTATTTATGATTAAAAAAAAAATTAACAAATTATCAAACCAAAACAACTGTTGAGCCGAAAACAATGATCAAAAACTTTAAATTTTACCAAACACTCCAACAAGTTCAAAATTATGCCCATCCAAACAGGCCAACTCTTGAGTGCCCTCTAGACTTTCTTCTTATTATTATCATCCCATAGCCAATAATCCATCATATTACTATAGCACGGAGCACTGGTCAAAATACTGAAGGGCAGAAAGAGAACTGATTAAAGTAGCATAACACAATTGTTATGCAAAGGTCAAGTTTATCATAACACTGAAAACCAGAACTTCATAGGCATTCTGATAAACTACACACAGTTTTTTACTTACAAAACGACTAAAGGATTCAAGTCATTACAGTTAATCCAGTATCCGTGGACAATAGTAATAAGGTGCATTCACATTTGAGAGGACCTGTAGCATTGGTAACTAATAGCTTCCGTTCTGCTACTAAGCATCTGGATCAACAACATACATGGATTTTAACTGCAGCAAGATCAAATAGAAAAAAATATTAAAAACAATTAATAATTGAACCATATGCATGAGAAATCAGTGTTTGCATCCTCAAACAGAACCATTTTACGAAACTACATCAAACAAATACTAAAAAGATAAATTAGATGCTTAGCCTCACAAGTACAACAACATCAACAAACTATAGCCTATAAACAGATAATTTTGGAGTAAGAAAAACAATTTAGAGACTAAATATTTAACATTAGCAATCATAGGTCATCTAAGAACAAAGATACCAACATCATACCAAACAAATCAATACATGCCAAAAATGAGTGAAATAACATGAATACACATGGATTGCTGAATACAAATATCTCATTAATTATGAGACCATCTAACCAAAAAAAATAAAATAAAGAAGGATGGAATCAATAGGGCAATGGATAAAGGTGGTAACAATGATAAGTTCAGCATCAAAGAAAGAAAGCACAATCCTTTGGCAACATTTCTAAATTCCGTAGCCCATAAATCATGGACTTCTAATGAGAATAAAGCCAGCAGAATTACATCATAAACTGCCTAAGCTGAGTTAGAAAGGAAAAAAAGTAACTAGTGTCAGCTTCTGAATAGTCCAATCCTACATTCCTATCTATCTCTGAAAAGTACCATCGCAAGCGAGGTAAGTACATCTCTATTGAAGGATAGTTCCTGGTAAACACAACAGAGAGTTCCCACCATAATTCTTTAAGATATTTTTGCACATAACTTTAAATCTGACTTTTTAGTTTCACTTACTGGTAGTTTACCTTAAATTCAGTCCCAAACTGTTTGCATCAGGGGGTGTTGTTCTCTTTGAATAACACTTATCAGAAAACCATGTTCTATACACATTCAATAAATACATTACCACCGCTAGATGATCCGCTAGTTGAACCAATGTGAACTTTCTATTAACATGCAAGGAATTCAAATAGAAGGTAAATCATGTGAGGCATGGAAACAATGAACTGCTATTAATTATTTAATTAAGTGGGAATGGTATACTGCTGTTAGGTCCACACTTCACAGGTTATAGGCAGTTGAAATTCAACTTTGTTTAAACATAGAGCAAATTAAGTCTTTCTTTTTATTTCGATAATATTTCATCCTGTGCTTTGTTCTTCATCCTTTACAACCATGATAAGTACAAGACATTTTCCCTCCTTTTCCAGTTCCTTCTAATTTTTCCCTCCTTCCTCTTCATTCAAATAGATTAACCTATAAAGAGAATAGGGGTCAAAGAGGAAAAAAAATAAAGGAGGATTTCAAGAATTTAATCTGCCAAACCATGGGAATTAGATTGACTAATATTTAATTATCTTCCGGAGGACAATGAAGTAACCCTAATTCATTTTCCAAATGAAAACAAGATTAATATAAACTATGATCATCAATTAACCATATATAATTTCAGTCGAGCAAGTGATTGAAGTAACTATTATTAAAGTTTCAATTAAAACAAAAAAAAAAGTTTGGATGTTATAGGTCTACGGAGAGGTAAAGGTAGACCAGGGAAGGGTGGGGAGGTGATAAGACATGACATGACACATCTTCAACTCACCGTAGGACATTATCCTTGCTAGGAAAGCATGGTGGCTGAGAATTGGGGTAGAGGATTAGTAGGTAGTCGAACGACTTCTCTCTTTCTTGAGGAAGAGCATGGTTTAGCTTAGAGCACCTTGTCTGCTCCCTCTTCTACTTAACGATATCAGTATTATTATTATTTAATTACTATTTTATTCTTCAAATTGTATACTGTTGTTGATTCTTTTACATGAGTGTTCTTTACTGTTTTCTTGTCAGTACTTTTCTTTTCTCCGGTATTTTAGCCATATCATTTACTTTTACATTTGTCAAACATGTTTTTGGAACCACTTTTCTTGAGCTGAGAGTTTATCGGAAACAACCTCTCTACCTCACACAAGGTAGGGGCAAGGTTTGCGTACATCACTCCCCCCCCCTAAGAACCCACTTGTGGGATCACAATGGGTGTGTTGTCGTTGTGAAAAAATAAGTTTGGAACATTCAACCACACACAGTTCTAATAAAAAAAGTAAGTCCAGTTTTAGATTAGAACTGAAAACATGTTAAGTACAGAAAAAATAAGCTTGCTAAGTTTTCTCCAGAAAACAACAGAAACATGCAGTAAAGCTCTCTGTATTTTTTTTGTCTTTTTCTGCTTCACAAAACCCTCTCCTATGAAAGCTTCACACCACCATTTTCAACAAAAAAAAGTTCTCTTTTACAGTTTTAACTGCACTATAATTATTTGATTTCCCCAATTTTTGTTTGTTTCAATCAGAACCTGTTGTCACCTCTTTGATGAAAGACCCATTGAAGAAGCCATTATCACAAAGTTCATCAATCCTAGAAATACCGTCATGCTTGAAGAAAAAAATTCTCATTTCAAGATAAAGATTTCTCTTTTGTCCAAGGAATATTAATAGGCCGGTAAGATGATTTGAAGGTCAACAATATACTTCCACTCACCCCCTAAAAATGAATCATACAACAGTGAATGTTTTTTCTACTCTAGCTTCATTGAGAAGCCAAAGTGGGAACCCCTACTGACACAGTTATTGGGAAATGTATAGATGAGCTTCTACCATGAAGAGAAAGTCAATAGCGTGCTAACTGCTCATGCAAAGCGTACCATATCTGTCCTAGTTTCTCTTTTTTTGGGATTCATGCAAAGGACAAAAAGGAGAAAAGAAATGGTTATAACTAACCATATCAAACTATCTTAGATCTTCAGACTTGCTCTGGATTTTTTTTGATTAAGTAAAGGATTTCATTAAAGAGCATCAGGGTGATGCTAAATGTAAAAGTATACAAGGAAAGAGAGTTAGTTCCCTTACAGGAGTACTAAGCTAGGTCAAACAGTTAACAAAATCCAAAAAACTGTCAACACTATTAACAGGAGACAAAAAATTCCAACTAAACAGATTGCTCTGGATTTACTTTTCTATAAGACATATTCTAAGCCAACGGGGTTAGCACCCAATTTAATCCCACTTTACCTACCGGCCACATGTTCAGTATGCATTAGCATAACCAATAATTACTTGGTAAGGAAAAAGCAAGATTGTACCTTGACATGCATGT